GAAGGGAGAGAATGTGATGTCCAGAGTTATTATATTATTCATATGTTTAATTTTTAACAATAACAAAAAAAATTCAAGGCTTACAAAAATGAGGTGGCTGCTTTAAAGAACAAAATGATGTAACAGAAACCAACCCTGAGGAAGCCAAAATGTCGGACTTACTAGACACATTTTTTTTAACTAATTGCCTTAAAAATATGGTGGAAGAGCTAAAAGAATAAATGGACAAAACCAAAAGGAAGTCAAGAGATATGTTATAAACTCTAGAGCAACTACTAAAAACAAAATTCATTAAGTATGATAAAAGAGTGTTAATGAGATTATAATGTAGATTTGATAAAAAATATTCACTTAATTAAACAGAAATAGTAAATGAGGAATAGAAAGTGAAAAGTATGTGCTGTTGTTGTTGTTATGTGTCATCAAGTTGGAACTGACTTGGTGACCCTCCGGTGAGTTTTCAGAGGGAGAAGGAGTGTTCATCCTTCTTCTGTGGAGGAGTTGGTGGATTTGAACCATGTGACTTTGGGATTACAGTACAAATTCTTACCACTCGGCCACCAGAGCTGCCTTAAAAACACATAAGACACACAGAAAAATTTAAATGGCAAAATATATCCAAAAAACCCAATAATTACATGTAAATAAACAACTAAATAAAAAAAAGATATTTTAGGTTGAACATTTTCTTTTTTTTAATTTTTTTGAACATTTTCTTAAATGACATGTTTACTTATTGTCACTAAGAGACAAATTGAAAAAAGCAAATAGATTGAAAGTAAAAGATGAAAAAAGACAGCATGCAAATAGCATTTATACATGAGGTGGAGTGCTTATGTTCATATTCAATAAAATAGAATTTGAAAACAATAGTAAAGATATTGTTGTTGTGTGCCATAAGTCAGAACTGTTTCATAGCTGACCCTCCAGCAGAAGGTTGTAAACCCAGCAGGAGGATTTACAGGCTGTAAATCAGATGGACGAGGACCTTTGCTAGACGTGAGTACCCGGCTTGGTAGTTAGGATCTAGAGGTCTACAATGACTCAGTTCAAAGGGAGTCTTCTTGGGAGTGTGGTCTGGATCAAATCTGTATGGATGTTCTGGAAAAGCGCTCTAGTTTTTAATTTGTTCTGTTTCTTATCATCTGATCTCTCATCTGGCTCTTATCATCTGATCTCTTTTTTGGGACTTGAGCCAGCGGACTGCTGATGGATTCAAACTGTGTACTTTTGGAATAACAATGCAAATCCTTACCCACTAGGCCACCAGAGTTTCCTTACTATTACAAAGTCCCTTCTACTAGAGCTATAGAAGGGGATTTTGTAACGCTAAGTCCACCAGGAAAGTATAATAAGTATAAACACCAAATAATGGAGCATCAGAATACATGAAACAAAAATTGAAAACATTAAAGGGAAAAACAAGGAATTCAGTGATAGAACAAACATCAGTACTCTGTTTCAGTAATGGATGGAATCATGGCACTGAGGATCAATAAAGAAATACTAGACTTGAACAACACTTTAAGTAACAATTCCTGAAGGTGACTAAGAAGCTATTTGTATTTTGTGGCTGATCTAGCAGTAAATATTTGTGTAAAGCTTTAGTAATTCCTACAAGAAAAGATAAAGAAAAAAACAAGAGAAACATGAGCAGAGGATTCTGCCTCCTCTCATAACCTTCTCAGGATGTCTTCTAGCTTCTCCCAGGCTCTCCCACTCAGGGCTGCTCTACGCTGGGCCTGGCTGTGCTCAGGGAGGTACCTGTATCCCGGGCCTTTCTCTCTGCTCATCACACTGCTCCCCACTTCACTGCTGTTCTTTGTATATCAAAGCATAGCTATAGAGTGAGTGGATAGGCCTTGATTCTTCCTTGAGTCTATAGATCCAGTACATTCATAGCCCACATTTAACATCATAGATAGGAAGAACTGTCTCATTGGCATACAACAGGACTTGAGCAAGGGGGAGAGAGAGAGGGCGTCAGGGGACGGGCAGCAAAAGGATCACTGGGATAGAGATCCATGTGAGTAGGTACTGGGCAGCCAGAGTGAAAAGTTCTTGTCCTAACAACCTTGAGTTCATCCTCCTGGTTCTGGTTCTGGTCACTTCCCAGCAGGAGTGACTGCTTCTGTCTCCTGAGCATCTGTCTCTTTCTGCAGCACACCAGCCCCTCAGTTTTGTCAAGCTGGCTCCCCAGGTTGCTGCCCCCAAAGGCTGATATGTTTTCTGTGCAGAACTCTAGGTCCTATAGAATGTGGAGCAGCACCTACTCCCTAAATGGATCTCCTGGCCAGGGCGATGCCCACTCTGTGTAGGCTTTTCTGGGAGGAAAAAGTGGGTCTGTGCTATGCCAATTCCCCTACCCAGAGCCTGTGCAGCTGATGAAGGGGTGGGGAAGGGACAGGCTTACAGAGAAGGTGAAGTTATAAGACTGACCACGGCTTGAAAAGTGGAGACAGAAGCAAGCATTCAAGGATATAGAGGAACTTGAGAAGTAGATGGTATTAATTCCTTAGTTCTCGAGACACAGGAAAGAGAGAGATCTCCTAGAAGTCCTTGAGTCATTTTGGAAGCCAGAATAGAGCAACTGAGGTCCAGAAGAGGCCTTAGCCCCATCCCATAGATTGGAGCTGACATGTCCACTCTGAAGCATTCTCCATCATAAGGGTTGTATGCTTTCTTTTCTGAAGCTACAGGCAAAGTCCAGGGGCCCCAAGGGGTGATGGGTAGGTATGGACATTGTGAGGAGACCTTGAGGCACTCAGCTCTTCAGTTGCTCATCAGGGGCAGTTGTTACGGGCTGCTGATGTCCAAGGTCACTCTGGCTGCCGGCTCTAGGAAAGATCGGTTATTTGTAAGGGACTAGGAAGAGGTCATAGGACCTGAATAATAAAAAAAAGAAAAAGTGCAGTCTGCCCCATTTCCAGCAGTGGTTGGAGACCTTCTCTTTTTATCACTGAAGAGTCAAGAGGGGGAGCCCTGAGGGCAGAGCTGAAGAAAGGCCTTAAGAAGTTACATTTGCCCTGAGCTTACAGGGGAAAGATCATCAGGCAGAAGCCAACTTAGAAGAAAGCTGAGTCAGAATGGACTCAGAACAAAAGGAATTTCTGCCAACTGTGTTGGGTGGATTTGAATAAACCACGTTGTTGTTGTGTGCCATCGGGTCAGAACCTACTTATAGCTCACCCACCAGTGGATTTTCAGAGAGTATAAATCTCAGGGGATGAGAATTCCCATCTTTCTCCCATGGTGCAGCTAGTGAGTTTGAACCGCCTGCCTTCAGGTTGGCAGCACAATTCCTTACCCACTAGACTGTCAGAGGTTGAATAAACAGGGAAGGGGTGGGCGGCTGCCCTCCTGACACCACAGTCTTTTTGCTCTGTGGATGAACAAGGACCACAGTGTGGAGTGGGGCTACATCTGTCTCGAATTTATTAGTGAATGGAAGAGTTCTTTGGTCTGGTGGTAAGAAGCTGCGCTGGAATCCCAAAGTCAGGTGGTTCAAATTCACCAGCAGCTCTATGGGAGAAGCATGGGCAGTAGCCTCCTGTGTGATTTATTGTCTCTGGAAACCCATGGGAACTTCAATTGTGGGTCAGTTCCAGCTTGACGGCACACAACAACGAACAGTGAGGTACAGTCTGAGGTTAGCACGCAGTGAGGGAGGAGCCCAGGTGAACCAGACAGAGGGTCTTTAGAGAAGTTGGGGCTGAGAGTGGCGAGCCAGGCCTCGGATCTGAAGATGGGATCTTTTTTCTTTCTAGCTGGAGTCACTCAAGGAGCAGGAGGTGAAATAGATAATGTGCAATCATACCCTCTAGTCCTGGTGAAAAGCAGGAAACAGCACAAGGTGGTCACCAGGGCACCAACCAAGACTGCAACCGTGATGCCAACAATTGCCCCAGTTGAGAGACCCCAGCCTCCATCAGGTCCACCAGCTGCAGTGGACAGAGTTGGAGAGGAACATGAGATTCACCTTCTGTAGTTTTGTGACTCATCTCTTCATGATTTCTTGTGAGCATCTTTACCGGGTGATGACAAACCATTGGAAGAGATCCTCCTTTTGTCAATGCCTGTCTATTTGGGGAATCAGTAACTGCGGACCCTCTCTCTATGTAGAATTCCAAGCCCTAAACCTTTAGTCAAACTCTACACTTTGCTATTGGCAAGTTCGTGTGCCTTCTGACACCTCGAGCTGGAGGAGTGATAGAAGGGGGGTTTCTAAGAGCTGTGTATGCAGCAGGCATTGACTAGAAACTCCTCGTCACACAAAGGGATTGTTTGTCCCCGGGATGAGGGGTGCTGCATTGCTTTTTCTTTTTTTTTTTTTTTTTTTTTTGGCTTATTTTAGTTTCTTAAAACTCTTTAATTCTTTTTAATTTTAATGAAAGTTTACAGATACTGTGGATTTCCATTCATTCATTGTTGCACTTTTCTTCCTGTCCACGCCTCCCTCCCCCCAATTCACTCTTCTCTTTGAAAAGTAAAAGAAAAATTCTTTCATTGTTATACAATCCCTCCCCCCAGGTCCACTCCACTATGCAGCCTTTGATCTAGACTCCTGTCATGACAATAATACCTAATCACATACCCCTTTTAAACAGTTTTCTCCCTCATCTGTTTCAATGCAGTACACATTTTTTATCCCCTCTTTCTCAGCCTCCCCCCCCAAACCCTCATGTCAGTCTTGTTTTACAGCAGTGGCACTAAACATTACTTTAACATGGAGAGAATGAAGCTGAGACGAGAGTGGGGAACAGAAGGTGAATGTGACATTTTGTCATTTTGTCAACAACAATGACTATCTTTTTTTTTTTTTTTTTTTAACAATGACTATCTTAACCTTTGGGGACACTCAGTATCAGGATGCAAATGTGTAAGATTTTTCCAACCATTGCCTATTCACAACTAATGTAGAAAGTGAGCCTTAGACATTGTGCCACAGATAAGAAAACAGAGGTTTATCAGTTTTGTAACTCAGAAGAGAGGACAAGGAATCACTCACATTCTACTGTCAAGCTGAAGGGGTCACTTTTCCTGGAACTGACTGGGTTGGAGACCTCACACTGGTAATTCCCGGCGTCCTCTCTCCTGATAATGTTTATGGTGAGGGAGCTGTTGTTCAGGGACAGAGTCATCCCCTCTGTGAGCTGAAGGCTGTGCCCTTCAAAGACCCAGCGGATAGAAATGTCAGTGTGGTTTGTGACGCAGGTCATGACCATAGGGCCGCTGTGTTCTTTGACTAGGATGTTACTGGCTCGGATGGAGGGCTTTGTCACTAACTCTGTAGAGAAATAGAGGAAAATATTATTATAAGAAGGGGAATGGGACCAGGGCCATTCTCTTTCCTACAAGAAGACTTCAACTAACTTACTAGCCCCACTAAGTTCTAAAAGATGACTCAGAAAAGGTCCTAATTCTGCAGAAGTTGAACATCTGTCCCGGTGCTTATTGGTCAGGTCTGTTTCACTAGGAAACAGGGGAAGCCTCTGGACTGGGATCTGAAACACTGGCACTGAAGCCTCTCCTCAGCCCATGTGTCTAGAAACCTCACCAGCAAGTAGCGTATTTGCCTTTGGAACTTGGTGTGGCCTTTCCCTAAGGCCCTCTGGGACTTTGTACGAGATCAAAGTCCCTTTCTAATAGACTCTTCTGTGTACATAGAGAGGGCAGACTGCCAGATCTATCTATCTCAGGGTCAGGGCAGCTTCACATGCAAAAGGGAATTTCATTCTTAAAAAATCCAAGGGAACCAAGATAACACAGCCCCATCTTCAAAATCTGAAAACTAACTGGAAAGGCTCCAAAGATAGCTGACCTGAAAAGGACTTTCATTTCCTGGTTGGTGAAACTGAGTCGTTGGAGCATGGCTCATTTTGGCCTAAGCTCAGAGTAGCCCTTGGGGCTGAACCCTGGATAGTGACCAACTCCAGAAGCCCCAGGACTTGGATGTCTAACGAATGGTTGCTCCCACTCAGCCCTGTTCAGGAGGCCACCACTCAGTACTCTCAGCTGGGAACCCTGGGTCAAGGTCTGAGAAGGGGACTTTCTGGACACCACTCCAGGAGCCCCTCAGGTCAGGGCCCAACAATCTTCCAGGTGTTTTTTCAGGCCATGTTTACAGGAAGCAGCTCAAGGAGGTTGGACTGAGATCTCCCTCTGCTGAATTACTTCCCATCGCACACTTGTTCTCACCGCAGTGAGTGTCTGCAGAGTGTGGATTCAGGGTGTTCTGATCTAAACGCTCAAGGCTCAAGAGGGAGGTATAGATCCAGACAACAGTCCAAATAGAATTATCCCCACCACACACTCAGGTGTCAGAGAAGAGTTACTCACCATATACATGGATTTGTCCAATTGCTGTCTCGAGCTGAACATCTGAATTTATTATTTGTAGTGTGTAGGGCCCTTGCTCCTCCAAGGTGACATTCTGAAACAGCAGGGACCCATTGGGATAGATTGTCTTTCGGCCATTATAAGCTGGCCCCTTGGTCCTTGCTCCTGTTGATACTGTGTATGTTGTAATTTGCGAAAGGATATCTGCTGTTTCCCCTTTGTACCAGTAGTAGGTGAAAGGATCTGCTGGCAGATTGCGCAGCACACGTAGAAGAACATCGTCTCCTCGGACGGCGTTGATCGGCACCGATTCAATGGTCAGCTGGGCTATGATAGGTGGGCTCCTGAAGATGAAAAGTGAGACTAGGAGAAAGAAAGGGGAAAGAAAGAACAATTCAGCATTTGGACAATTGTGGCTTAGTGGTAAGGAATTGTACTGCCAACACAAAGGTACAGGGTTTGGATCCACCAGCTGCTCTGTGGGAGATGGACAGCCTCTTCCCATGTGACTTACAACCTCTGAAAACCTGCTGGTACGGGTCAGATCTAACTGGAGGGAACACAACAACCACGCTGGCATGGGAAGGTGAGGCAGCTGAGTCTGCACAGATCTCTCAGCCCTTTCTCATGGTGTGTGTGTTTGCTAAGGTCAGCGTTACTTCCATTTATTTAAACTTGTTATTTCCTCTTTTTAAAAATATTCACTCCCAAGTGTGAGCACATGGTCACTCACTGCCCTCAGTTATCATCTCACACTCGTGACTTCTTTGGACCCTTCCCTTCCCTGATGTCCCATCGACAGACCCTCCAGCTGTCCTTTCAGACCTGTCCTTGTCTCTCCACAACACTTATCTACACCTGACCTTGTGGGCAGATTTATTTACTTGTAATGTCTCCCTCTACCCTGGATGACAGCTCCACGAGTGCAGGGACTTTCCTTGTCCTATGCACCCCTACAGCCTGGGCAAGCCTGTAGATACTTGAGGGGTGAGTTGGAGAAGGTTCCCAAAGCTCCTCCAACTACTGGTGTTTACCGACCCATTTCTGAGATGGGTAGGTAATTTAGGGTAACTTACTTAAAGCTTTTTCTAGATGTCACATAGACATAAATGTGTATTATTGTCATCAGTTTTGGGAGTGTATTGTTTGGGGGCAGTTGATGAATGAGAACATGCAGCAAATGAGGCTTTACTCCCCTTCGCCAACTCCTGTTCTGTGACGTTTCTCATGTGTGGGTCCTCTGCCCTCTTCTGTGTTCTCCCCACTGGAGCCCCAGAGGGAACTTTCTGTCACCCACAGGAGAACCCAGACAGTCTGTGTGTCCCCCCCCCTCCTGTCACAGGGCTCCAGCCCATCTCACCTGTGAGCAGGATGCAAGTTGCAGCTGAGGAGGGCTCCATGGGTTTGCTAGGTGCCTTCCTACGCGGAGAAGAACTCCAAGCACACAGTTGTCCACCGAATATGACTGCAGTCCCGGATGTGTGTGCTCTGTGGTAACCTCCTGTCCCCACTCACTGAGCCTCTTCCTGGGCAGGATCTTCCCCAGGTCATGAGGGTGGTGGGAGGGATCTCCTGAAATTGCCTCTTGTAGCTTCCCTTTACATACTTGCCTCGAATTCCCCTCCCCTTTCCTTATTGTCTATACTTTGATTCCCTAAGAGCACTCTCCTTCCGGTGGGACAGACTTAAGGTCAACTTTTGGTTCCAGTGGATTTAATTTTTTTCAACTTCAGCTTGAAGTTGCATATGAGTAGTTGATAGTCTGTCCCACAATCGATTTGACTCCTATGCATTCCATCAGGTGAAATCCATGTGTATAGCCTGCATTTGTGTTTCTTATAAAAGATATTTGCGATGAATAAATCACTGAATTGCTGAATTCTATCATTCTATCTCCAGCCCTATTTCTGTCACTGAGTCCATGTTTTCCAGCTACTGATCCTTCTTCCCTGTTCCCAACTTTTGCGTTCCGGTTGCTCTTTATTATCAATGCATTTTGATGGCCTGTTCGATAGATTTCTGACTGCAAAAGTTGATAGAAATCTTCCATTTCCTCCTCTTTGGCTCTAGTTGTTGGAGCATATATTTGAATGATAGTGGTATTCTCTGGACTTCCTTGCATGTGTATGGATCCTGTCACTCACCTGTCACATTGTATTTCATGATGGATCTAGAAATTGCTTTTTAATTAGGAAACCATCCCATCTTTTTTTCCTCACCTTTTCATCCCCGGCATAGTAAATCATATGACCATCTGATTCAAAATGTCCCGTGCCAAGCCATCTCACTTCTCCAATACCTAGTATGTCTATATTTATGCGTTCCATCTCTTTCTTAACAATGTCCAATTTTCCTATATTCATTCTTCTCACATTTCATGTTTCAATCACTAGTATCTGCTTACAGCTTTTCCTCCTTCTTTGTGTTTCCATATCTGAGGTCTCAGTCTCAATTGCCTTGTCTTCTAGTCTAAGTGCTAGTCTAAGAGTGCTCTACTGTACATAGGGTTTTCGAAGGCCTATTATTTCAGAAGTGGATGGCCAATCAATCCTTTTTCCTAGTCTGTCTTAATTTGTGTTTGTATTTGGTGTTTTTAAAAATAATATGCAAAAGATTATTGCAAAGGCTGAGGAGGAAGAAAAGACCAAGACAGATGTCAGATGAGACTCTGAATATTGCATTAGAGTGCTGAGAAGCCAAAGCCAAAGGAAGAAATCAAGAAATTAAAGAGCTGAACAGAAAATTTCAAAGGGTAGCTTGAGACAACAAAGCAAGATACTATAATGAAATGCGCAAAGGGCTGGAGTCAGGAAATCAAAAGTACCAAACTTGCTCAGTGCTTCTTAAGCTGAAGTGGTTGAAAACCAAATTCAAGCCATGAGTGGCTTTACTTAAGGATGCTTTGGGAAGAGTGTTAAATGATCCAAAAAGCATTAAAAGAAGATAGAAGGAGTACACAGAGTCATTGTACCAAAAGGAATTGGCTGACACAGAAGAATTTCATGAAATAAGATATGAGCAAGAGCCTGTGGTGATGAAGGAGGAAGTTCAAGTTGCTCTGAAAGAATTGGCAAAAAACAAGGCTCCAGGAGTTGACGGCATAACTAATTGATGTATTTCAAACAGATGCTACCCTGGATGTGCTCACTAAGTTTTACCAAGCAATCCAGAGGATAGCCACCTGGCCAACTGACTGGAAGAGATAGATATTTGTTCTCATTCCGAAGAAAGGTGACCAAACAGAGTGTGGAAATTATCACACAATATCATTAATATCACATGCAAGCAAGATTCTGCTGAAAATTATCCAAAAACAATAGGAACAACATGTCAACAGAGAACTGCCAGATGTGCAGGCTGGGTTTAGAAGAGATTGTAGTACTAGGGATATTATAGCCATTGTTAGATGGATCTTAGCAGAAAGCAGAGAATGTTTATCTGTGCTTCATTGACTATGTAAAGGCTTTTGACTGTGTGGATCACAACAACTTGTGGCTGACTCTGAGAAGAATGGGAATCCCAGAAGATTTGATTGTGTTTATGCAAAACCTATACTTGGACCAAGAGGCAGTCGTCAGAACGGAGCAAGGAGACACTGGATGGTTCAAAATTGGGAAGGGCATCCACCAGGGATGTATTCTGTCTCCATACCTTTTCAAACTGTATGTAGAACAATCATCCAGGACGCTGGGCTGTACGAGGAGGAATGTGGCATCAGGATTGGTGGAAGAATCATCAGCAGCCTGCGTTATGCAGGTGACACAACCCTGCTTGCTGAAACTGAGGAGGACCTGAAGCACTTGCTGCAAAAGGCCAAGGCCTCCAGACTTCAATATAGATTCAAGCTCAACATCAAGAAAATGGATTCTCACCACTGGTTCAACTGGCAGCATCATGATGGATGGTGAAGAGGTTGAGATTGTTAACAGCTTCAGTCTGCTTGGCTCCACAATCAACACTCTTGGTAACAACAGCCAGGAAATCAAGAGACGAATTGCATTGGGAAAGTCAGTTGTCAGGGACTTCTCCAGAGTACTGAAGAGCAACAATGTCAGACTGGAGACTAATGTGCTCCCGATCCAGGCTATAGTCTTCGCAATTGTGTATTACGGATCAAAGAGCTGGATAGTGACTAGGGATGATAGAAAGAGAACTGATACCTTTGAGCTGTGGTGCTGGAGAAGAGTGTTGAATGGATTGCTAGAAGAACAAACAGGTTTGTCCTCGAGAAGGTGAATCTGGGTGATTCTGAAGCTTCATCTGACATAATTTTGGCATGTTGCAAGAAGGGACCAGTCCTTGGAGAGGAACATCATGCTTGTAAGAGTGGAGGGACAGCGCAAGAGAGGAAGACCCTCAATGAGATGGATTGATTCAGTGACTGGGATAGTGGGAGTAGGTGTGTTGGAGACAATGAGGTTGGCTCAGGATAGAGCAGGGTTTAGGGCTCTTGTATATAGGGTCTCTATGAGTCACAACTGACTCAACGGTGCATAACAACAACAACAAGGGCATTCTCAGCCTTGATCATCCTGGATCCCACTCTGATTACTGGGCCTCAACCCCTGCATTGGGCATTTCCCAGAGATCAGCATTTCCTAGGGCGCACAGTCTGCTTTCCGTTCACTTTAATTTGGCTTTTCTCTTCAGGGCTTCACATGCATGTGAAAGGGACAATGAATAAACAACTTAAAATCTCAGCCCCATATCACATTGCTACAGCAAATTTAGGATAATTCTATACCATTCCCTTACTTTAGCTGATTCTGATGTTGAGGCAGTTTCTTATTTAAGAATCAATGCCTAAAGATTTGGCTAATTGTACAGCTTTTACAACATTACAGATAGCACAAAGATTGAAGAATTATGTCATTGACAGAGGGTAAAAAATAAAGAACAAGACAGGACACCAAGAATTGAGGAGAAACAGAGTGTAAAGCAGGGGGTGAACAGGTGGAAGAACTGAAACAGGGAACCCAGCTTCCCTGTGCCTTTATTGAAAATTGCCAGGGAGCCAATCACCAAGAGAATTCTATGCAAATAAAGCTAAGCTCTTTCTATTGAAAACCTTATGCTTGACTCAGGAGGGAGCAGTTAGCAAATGCAATCCAAGAATTGTGGAAATGCCCAAGGTCTACCTTGGCACTTCAGGGGGAATTCCAGCTTGTATCTGTGCCTTCGTGGTATCTTGATATAGCATTTTGTTTATCATTAATATTTAATTTGAACTTTGGCTTCCCACAGAATTGGTGTCTTTGAGTTGTGGTGTCATTGAAAGTATAGACCATCCCATGGACTGCCAAAAGAATAAACAAATTTGTCTTGGAGAAAGTGCAACCAGAGTGCTTCTTAGAGCCAAGTTCAGTGAAACCTCATCCCACATACTTTGAGCACATCGTAAGGGAGGCTAATCCTTGGAATAAGCCATCATGCTTGGTAAAATAGAAGGTCAGTGAAAGACTGTTAACAAAATGAATTGACACAGTGACTGTAGCAATTGGCTCCCATAAGCCCATTCTATTGTTCATAAAGTCGCTATGAGTCACAACTGACTCCTAAAACAACTTCAGCACAGAAGCCCAAGGGTTGTATGATGAACTCTTGCCACAGAGGATTTCACCTGCCTGTGCATCATGATTCTGATGGTCACCTGTGGTCACCTGGTGTCCACGTGATGTCTGTGAAATGCTGCTTCAGAAGGTGCAGAGATAACACTGATGCCCTGCAGAGTTGAGAAGCAACGATCTGTGTGAAGGACTAGCTGCTGACCATCTCCTGTGCGTAGGGATAGTCTAAAAATCCTACTGAATGTAATTTCTGACTCTCTGACTATTAGGTGGACCTGAGAGTGCATATAACAGGCTCTTAAGTAATGCTGATCATACTGGCCTGGACCACACTGAATAGCCAAACTGTCAGTGAACCTTTTCCTCTGGGAGGATGACTTGCCCACATCAGTGCTGGCCTCTGGTGTTTCCGGTCTTAGGAGTGCCTGCGCTTGACAGGGAGGCTTTAGGGTCATGCTCCTGATTCAGGCTAGGGTCTTTTCAATAATTTCCTGTGCATCTGAAAGCTGGACAATGACTAAGGATGACAGAAGTATCTATGGCTTTGAGTTGTAGTGTCTAGATTCACAGATGGCAAATAGAACAAACACATCTATCTTGGAGGAAATGCAAATAAAGCATCCTTGGAGGCAGGGATGGTGAAACTCTGTCTCATGCACTTTGGGCAAGTTGTTAGGTGGGTCCAATCTTCAGAAAAAGAGAGCATAAGACAGGAAGAGACTCGTCAAGACGACAGATTGACTTGGTGCCTGGAGCAATGGACTCAAGTATACTGGAGATGATGAAGATGGTACAGGACAGGTCACAGTGTTCAGGTCTGTTGTCTATAGGGT